ATCTTGCCTTGCCTTAGTACATTAGCCTATCTCATAATTATAAATGATGATTTAGCGGTTGTGAACTCATTGTGCCAAGTCAGTCAGATACTTGATATATAAGATATTGAGGTAATATTATCGGTTGTTCTTGAACTTTCATTAATCATTCAATGTCTTCCTTGAATCTTTTTTTTTCGATCTAATCCTTAAAATTTTAAATTGGAATTGAATGTGGTCTTTCCTTTATGCTCATGTTTAAATGTTAATATGTAGAACATCGCCGATAGTAGTACAATGACCACCTCCCCAAGGCCTTCATTTTCCAAGAACATTGTCCAAAAAATCCTAAATCTGTTACACTTTTGTCAATTCATTCATAAACCTTTCAATTTTGCCAATTGAGCCCTAAACCTTTTCACCTTTTTGCTAATGTGGACATCGGCCGTGCCACGTATGATAGTCACTTTCTCTCTTTGTCCGTCTTCTTTAGATCTTTTTTTTTTAATTGTTTTGTGCTTTTTAAGACAATTTCTCTGGTCACGCGAAATGCCAACCTAACATTGAACAATAATCTAGCATACTACCCCGTTCACGTTAGTAAATTCTTATCAGGATGACCACATCAAACTCAAAATTTTTTAAAATGTCACCACATTGGAAAATAAAAACTAACATTGAATAAGAAGTAAAGGAGGAAGGGCCATCGATGTTATTACCCATAAAATATATTCCACATGGTTGGTTGCTTAGTCCTAAAGGTTAAAAAAAAGTGATGCTTTCATCGAAGAGGCAAGAAATTGTCGGATCGAGGAAGGCAGCTAAAAAAAAATTGCAATGAAACATCGTATTTTGATCAAAGTGCTCAGATGTTGCAACCAAACCCATTTGATTTGGATCAGTGCGAACTTAATGTGATGATCACATACGACAAAGGCATCGAAACACTATTTTAATTTCTACCATTAAACAAGCAACAAGGAAAATCAAGATTAGATTCTATTGCAATTGAATGCGGGTGATGACAATACGATAGCCACCAAAGCTTATGATAAAACTAGAAGTTTTTAAAGGAAATGTGACATCAACTAGGTTGATCTAGGAGTGAGTACCCCCATTATGCAAAAAAAAAAGTCAACCCTTATTTGGTAAACAAGAAAAGAATAACATTTGCCATGTGCTCTGCACGTAGAGATTTTAATGAAAAAAATGCAGTAACGAAATGAATTAAGAGTAAATTTTTCGATTTATATTGCAGTCGTTTAAAATAATTAATTTGGAGAAGTAATTAGAGACTACAATCCGACCCATAATTTGGCATTTCCTTGGCGACCCTCGAGGAGGACTATAATATATAGTTTTTGCGTGAAATCTGATATAATCTATTGACTCCTATCTATTTCGTGTCGAGGAAGGGCTGACATCGATTTGGACGTCACGGACTACGTTGAAAACTGGATCTTTATGCGTTGCACGAGCACACGGTCGAGAGTTGACCCTAATTTCTGGGGATCTCTTGATGCCAATTCAAATCATTGAAGCTTTTTTCTATTTTCTTCCTATAGTTTATGTTGGACAGTCCACACGAATTCGCAGCATGAGCATCGCCAGCTCTCGAGGATGTATTTCTCCCCAAATTTGTCAAATGAATGCCACACCAACGAAGGATAAACTCAAGATTGGCAAATGGAAAAACACGTTGTATGTGTATTATTGATCAAACGATTTACAGTTTAGAAAAGAACACAAATTGACTTTATGGATGACTTATAGGTAAAACCGGTCAGCACAATCCCAAATCAAACTCGAAAGAGCGAGAGCTTGGCAAAATAAATGAAAAATGACGAAAATTTGGATGGAATAAGTAAAATCTTGCGATTTGGTCGAGTGTTTATGTCCTTTATGCTCGAGACGTTCTTTGTATAATCACTAGCATGTGAGATTTAAGTTTAAAGTCTAAGATTTGTTCCCTGAGTTTTGGACACGGGCACCAAAGGCTGGTATCGATTTTAGACGCATATCATGAGCCTTTAAGATCTCAATTTCATGTTCTAAGACGTATTCATCATGTTGTGGAAGTACTACCCCACGTCTTGGACGTGTCCCTTATGTTTTGGACGATGACGGTCTCAATATCTAGTAACAAGTATGGTATTCATGGGAATTGTTTCGCTGTGTATGCTAATCAGCTTCTGCCATGTGTCTGACCATGATCTCCATCACCCTTGTTTTTTAGGGATAACATTCGACAAGAACATAATCGTTCCCGCACTTTCCTCGAACTTTCAATTGGTTTGGCATCATGCTAGTCACTTCTGGCACATGTATGCTAGTCATCTGTGCCACGTGTATGCTACCTATTTCTGTGTATGTCTACTAGCCACTTATGACAGTGTATGCCAACTACATGTGCTACTTGTATTGCTTATGACTTACCAATCTTCGTTCTCCTCTTCAATGCTTGCTAGACATTTCAAATTTTGGCGCTAATAGTGATCAATGCCAATCTTGCATAAGCCATATTACCCAACTACATGGCCATGGGTTCCTTTGGTATAATTTGTATGACATCGTATAATTATAAAGTCGTCATCTTGCTTAATATGTTCGATACCTTATAAAATCAACGCTCTCTCAAAATAGCCGATACATATTTTAGCCATTTTTAGGTACCGATAGAACCAAATGCATTTTTTCCTTAAGTTTCAAAACTATAGCCACTGTATATACATGACAATTTAAATGAAATCATTAAATCCAAATCATGTGTCTTAAGGGATATTAGTTTCATCATCTCATGGCAAAAAAGAGACATGATCCTTCCTTTCTACTTTTGATTTTTGACTTTTCAAATCTAAGCAAATGTCCATATTGAAAAGAAGAAAAAAAAGATTATAACCTAAAATTTGAGCTACTTAGCTTTTGACTTGTGCCTTAAATTTTTGCATGAAGATGAGCATGAAGAAAAAAATCTGAAATCGCTGTTTAAGATGTGCAACTAGCGGTAATACAACACATTTTAATCATGATCATTTACTTAAGGCTCCGTTTGTTTCGCAGAAAATAAATGATTTGAAAAATATTTTCCTAAAAGTAATCACTAGTGTCACTTGAAATAATTAGTAAATAAAAAATATTTTCATTATCACAACAAATTATGTCTAAATATTTTCGTGGATGATGAAAATATGTTTCGTTCATTTATTTTTTAAGCGATACAAAATGATCGCTTTTAGGAAAATGTCTTTCAAATCATCCGTTTTTCGGGAAACAAACATAGTCTAAAGTCTTTCCTTTTCTTGGGTGGATGCGCAACACCGACAGTTCCGAAGTTACCACTCCCGTTAAATCTAGCAAAAGTCACCATTGAAGCAGAAAACATAAAACATTAATTGAAATTAAAGAGGACTGATACAGAGTAAGAAAAACCCAAGGTAGACTCCTTTATATCGCCCCTCTTATCATGTTCCCAGCTAGTTTTCACCGATTTATGTAACTGGTGTTCCACTACTTCAAGCATGTTAACAAAGAATAAAACAGAGAAAAGGTCAACTGAGCTCACTTCCATCAGATGTTTTAAGTTTCTTTTTTTGAAGAGCTCCTTCATCTCTCTTTTGGCCAAACAGCAGCTCCCTGATTAAATGGTCGAGTAATGTCTATTTAACCACCGAAGTGGTTGGTCTAGTGGTGTAGGGCTTAAATCTCTCGAGGGATTTCGACCCCCTGGTCACGGGTTCAGAATCCCCGTCGATCTTCGGTCTCAGGAAGCCTTGATTTGTCTACGGAGTAGATTTGATTGTATCATGATGTAGGGTAACCTTGACTCTATTTCCACTAGCACCACGGCAGGGACGCGGTTGTTACTCGCTAAAAATAAACAGTAATTACGGCTTAAAATGAATATTCTGTCTAGTGCGTGGATCTTTTATAACTCTCAAGGAGGGTCGCTAATGCTGGTCGCCCTTTTTTACTCTTCTAGTTGATCAAAGAATGGTGTTTATTCATGATTAAACTGAGAGACATGGAAATATGCAGAAACAAAGATCTCCAATTTTGAAAGCAGTAGATATATAATGATCTTTCGTTAGGAATATTGCATCAAAAGTCCCGAATGTTTTGCCTCACGTGCAATAAAGTCCTAAATACTTGAAAAAGCGCTATTTTATCCTGAACATTTTGAATTCGGTGCAATCAAGTCTTCCTGATAACCGCTCGATCAATTTTTGCTAACATGATAAGTCGGGATTGGACATGGCGTTTTTTAATAATTCAAAGCATATGTGGCGCTGATGTGGCTCCACGTCATAAAATAGGCCAAATGTTGAAAAATAGAAAAAACAAAAATAAATTTTTTTTGGAAAAAATAGAAAAAGGCTAAAGCTATGAAAAAGAAAAGGGAAGAGAAATAGCGCAAGTTGGCGTGAGGGTTTGAAGATTGAGGGCCGCGGTGCTGCCCCACATCATTGGCGAGGGCCGGCGAGTAGGGGTGAGCGGTTCCAGGTTCCGGTTCGGTTCCGCTTGGAACCTAGAACCTACCATTGGGTACAGGTTCCTCATTTTTTTGAACCTGAAACCTACCCGTCAAACCGTGGAACTTGGAACCTACCCTGTCACAGGTTCCAGGGTCGGTTCCAGGTTCCAACAGGTTCTTTTTTTTAATTTCGTTTTTAATTAAACAAAACGAAAATAAACGCAACAATGACTAGTTATTGAAAAACAATATTTCGCTTAATAGAAAGGGGATATTATCTAACAACCTAGATCCATTTATGCAGAATAGAAAACACCAAGAGTTCAGCATCATATAACTTTATTATCAATGGATCAGTGCAAATATATTTAGTAGAATGATATTGTCAATAAAAGGCCAATTAGCAAGGCCAATTAGCAACACCAATAGCAAACCTCATTAATCTAGGAAAGAAACTTAAAACAATATAATAGTGGAGGAGGCAAAAACTAGCTAATTAGGACTCAATATTGCAAAGAGATATCTTCTATACAAAAAACAATAGAGGACATATCGCAATGTCGTAAAGGCATTTATACAGCTAAGCCCCCTTTGTGCAAGGCTTACTTTGCTGATGTTCAACTTAAAAATCATTGGAAGGGATAAAATGAAAATAAATCAAAGGAAAACAATCCAAAGGTCCACCACTTAAGACATACATGTTTACTGTCAGAAATCTTCTTACTTTCGAACTGCATAAACTGGGCCAGTGGCAGCCCCAGCACCAGTATGCAGTCAACATTGTAGGAAATGCAAAATAGACGAAGAGGAAACGAAACCTACCTCTTGCAGCATAAATCATTGCCAATTCCTGAAACCGAATATCATAACAGATGCCTATACCAATACGTCCAACGTCTGCATAGAGCCAAAAAGAAAAGAAAAGAAAAGAAAACAACTCAAACAACAGATAGACCAGAAGACTCAGGCAACTAAATGTTCCATACATAGTTACTTAAGGAAAGAAAAGTTACCTTGCAGTGCTTGGCTTTCAGCACTCCAATGGAACCAAAAACACAGCAAGCGTTGTACAATTGATCACCACATCTTTCTGGGATTGAACTGCCCACTATGGTAACCTTCAAGCCCTTGTCCACGGCCTCCCGAATCGCGTCGCGAGCATGGGCAATGTTCCTCTCTTTATCCGCCGTCACCGAAAGTTGGCATAGCCCGATCTGAAACTGAAACCACACCACCCAAAGAAAAGACGTCAAATTTCGAGGTCGCATCGATGATCGAAGTCGAGGGGTTCGAGCCCATGCCTTGGCGAGGGGAGGAGTAGGCATAGGGAGCGCAGGCGGAGCCCTCGCTTGCGCGGGCGTCAACTGACGCTTACTCTTGTCCTTGCTCGCTCCCTTCTTGCACCTCCAGCCACAGGCCGCTCGATTGGTCACCAAAAAAACCCAGAATCGGAAATCCGCCGTGGATGAGCCGGACCGCGGTTGATGAAGACAGAGGAAGAGCCGAGGCGGACGCCGAACGGAGTGAGGAGAGGCGAGAGGGTCTCGTCGAGTCGTGGGTGTGGGGAGTGGGAGAGAGGGCGCAACGGAGGAGCAACCGAGAGAGAGAAATTTGTGAAGAAAAGTTAGGGTTTTTATTTTTTACTAGGAAGAGCGTCGGTTCCGGTTCCGGGTACGGTTCCCGGTTCCGAAACCAGGAACCGGAACCGGCGGTTCTTGAAAAATTGGAACTGAGAACCGGAACCGCCCACCTTAGAACCGGGAACCGAACCTTACCCGCCGGTTCGATTTTTCGGTTCCCGGTTCTACCCTGGAACCATGCTCACCCCTAGGCGAGAGGGCTCACATGCCCTCAATGGTGACGTGGGGACGATGTCCTTCTTTCCATCTCTACTTTTTTTATTTTACTTTTTAAAAAAATCTTTGCCCTCTATTTTTAGTTTTTTTTTTCATCTTTCACTTTTTGGCTTTTTGGCTTTTCAGATTTTTTATTATTTTTGAAGTGGTGCCAAGACAAGCCGCATATGTTAAAAGTTATTTAAAAATGCCACATCGTACTCTAGCATGCCATGTTAACAACATTGGTTGAATGACCCACCTGAAAGACTTGATCGTACCAAATTATGAATTTGATTGCACTTTTTCAAAGGTTCATGACCGATTGCATGTTGGGCTAAACGTTCGGGACCGTCGATGAGATTTTCATATTTTTCATCGCTACAAAGTCAACACAAATGAAGAAAAACATTTTTTGCACGCATCCTAAGAATCCATGAGAAATCTAATAATATTTGTATATTTAATTGGGTACATGGAAGGCATGGTACGGAATTCCGTTTATTTAACACTTCGGAGCAACGCATTGCAATTATAAAAATGCTCAAGTTGAGTAGGTTGTTAATGCATGATTTAAGCAACGAGGATTAAAAAAAAGAAATCCTTGATTTTGCTGTCCTACGATCCTGGCATGCCCAGCCATTTTAATATTCTTAAATTTTTTTAAGCCGCTAAGACCACCAAATATGAATTTTTTTTACAGGATTCATAGTAGAAAAAAGTCGATTTAAATAAAATTCCATATTATTAAAGAAAGACACTGTAAGAGGAATTATTAAAAGTAACGGATAATACCACGAAAAACTCCAAACTAATACACTTGTGACAAATTTACCAAAAACTAATTTTTTGATCATCAAAAATCCCAAAATGGTATACCTATGATAATTTTACTTTATGCTAGTTTCCGTCAAATTTTACCTTCAAATTTCTAAGTTGGATGACACGTGACAGTTAACGGGTGTACCAATTTGGGGTTTTACCCTCCGTTTGTTACAAATGTATTAGTTTGTGATTTTTTGTGGTATTAATCCAATTTAATAGATGGTAAATTTGTCATAAATGAATTTTTAGGCCGATCCTGGCATGCCCAGCCATTTTAATATTCTTAAATTTTTTTAAGTTGCTAAGACCACCAAAAATGAATTTTTTTTTACAGGATTCATAGTAGAAAAAAATTGTTTCATATGAAATGCAATATATTCAAAGAAAGACACAGTAGGATAAATGATTAAAAGTAGAATGAGCTCATATATGATTTTCCATTTCTTGCAAAACTAACTCCACCATTTTTGTTTTCTCCATGCTTAGGCAATATAAAAGCACGATTGATCTCATCGTAGATATAACTAATTTATTATTTATACAAATTACACGATCAAGATATTCTATAATGTAGTAAAAGAGGCAAATGTAACAAGAGTGCCCAAAAAAAAAAACCTATACATGATATTTATGTTATCATTAAGGCTTTGTTTGTTTCGCGAAAAATAAATGATTCAGAAAACAACTTATGTTTAAATAATTTCGTGAACAATGAAAAAAAATTTCATTCATTTATTTTTGTGAGCTAATAAGTGACCATTTTTAAGAAAATATTTTCCAAATCATTTATTTTCTTCGAAACAAACGGGGCCTAAGTTATGTCGACAAACAGAAGAAGAGGCGGAATTTCATTATTTAGAATTCGGAGTACAACAGAAGTGAGAAACTCTCAAAATCCTAACTCTTACAAATGCACCACATCTCTCACCCGCGCAAAAACATTATCACAAAGTGTATATTAACACTAAATTTTCTAAAGAAACTGTTGAACAATCAAACTGGTTCGTGTTGCAGTGGCCAAAACCCCCCCGACCCCGGGACAACCTTAGCGAGGTTAGTACTGGGTTACAAGGTCGCAAACCAGGTAAAATCCAAGTCGAAATGAATAAGCTACCATAAGTAGTACGTTTAACACGAATTGTGAGATTAAAGACCCTTGTGCAAAAGAATTCTCATACACATTTTGGGACAGGCGTACTTCAAAACTTTTTTATGACCCGAAACATCCGAAACTTTCACTGCGTGTGAATGTTGACACGTAGATTCGCAGTTAATTTTCCATAGTTTTTTGAGACTTGGATAACGTTTCAAAGTTTGGTTGGAAAATAAAAGAAGAACCTTTTACTTTTACTTAATCCTAAACACACAAAAGCCTTCCGAACTTGTCGTCTAATAATGCATCTCATTTAGCTATCAAGCAAATTAGTATGACATTATCATACTAACTCACACTCTAACCTTTGAATAATGTAATTTCTTGACCTATTGATCTCCCAGCAAGATCAAAATGCTTTGAACAAGTGAATCCTCAGAAGGAAAGTCTATTCAATCGATTTTTTTTCTATATTTTCTAGAAAAGTGGTACGACGTGGTGTGCACATTACGAGGAGAGTCCCGGTTAAATAGGAATGTAATTAAGACAAATTGAATTAGATGGTACAAAGAGTTGAAGTCGGACTTGAATGTGGCCATTGAATGTGGTATTCACGCCCATAGTCTTTTTGCATCTAACTTTGCACGATGTTTCTGATGCCCACCCGGAGCAAATTATTAATTGGGAAGTTAATGTTTCTACGAGAGAGAGAGAGAGAGAGAGAGAGAGAGAGAGAGAGAGAGAGAGAGAGAGAGAGAGAGAGAGAGAGAGAGAATATTTAGAGCCAAAGCCAACTTATATCCCATCTTCCAACGGCTATTAAGGTGGCGCTTTGATTAGTTGTGGAAACTAGGGTTGCCTAAGGTTAAACGGATGTACTTATGCCGGTTTTCCTTTTGCTTTGGGCCAAAGCTTATGTCGGGTTTGAGTAAGGTTCATTTGAGTCTATAGGTGTCATCCTTCTCAACTTGAAATTACCTTATGTAACTTAGGTCAATAATTGAGGTCAATGTCGACGTAGGAGGGGATTTTCAAGTAGTCATCTGTATACGGGGGAAATTGCGTAGGGATTGGCAGAGACCTTGTACTAAAATAATTCTCATAGTACATCTGAACTGTGTTCCTAGATTAACTCATTCGAAGTATTGTCCGCTTTGGTCTGTTCCATACCGAGCTTTATGATTTTGTCCTTTGGCATACAAGTGGGCACTTTCTCAAGAGATCACCCATACTTTTACCTATCCCATATTGAGCATCATGATTTTGTCATTTGGCATACAAGTATGCACTTTTCCAAGAGGTCACCCATCCTTTGGCCTGTCCTTACAGAGCTTCACGGTTTTGTCATTTAGCTTATAAGTGGGCATTTTACCAAAGGGTCACCCATTTTGGTAGTTTTCTCACTTGAGCATGCTTCACTTTGGAGTTAATTCCAAATTTCGGTCAATGCACGGGTTTGTTTATTCTTGCAACATTCTCCATCCTAGAAGTCTGTTAGAAACTGCTCCTTGTCCAGACCTTCTAGCCCCAGTAACCACTCCCCCCTCTCGTCAAACCAAGTCGTTACAGGCCCACAGGCTTCCCCGTGGTTCATCCCCGGACCACACACCTACCTCTGATACCATATTGTGACATTCCCATATCAACTCACTCGATATATTGTTCGCTTTAACTCGTCCTAGACCGAGCCTCACATGGAATCAAGCCACCGTTTCTTGCCCTTTTTGGTAGAACTTGCTTGATTAGTTCATCTTGAATAAAAAAGAATGAACTTTTGAGTTAGATGATTGTCATGATCTACAATCTACATGACTTAAAATTCATCCCAAATCTTAATGAGGTACATGAACACATAGTAGAAATCAAAATGATGGATATGCATACACTTTTTAGTGCATGGCGGTGCTACTTCTAATCCCTTTTGTGAAATTAGCTTATTACATTACCTGTTTATGGAATAAAACCGTGTGGGTATAGTTGCATCATTTTGAATGAACAAGTTCCGCATGCATCCGGATCATGTGAGCCGACTCTATCTCAACCGTTAAAAGGTGCGGGTCTCATGTGAAGCCCGTGATCCAATTGACTAGAATTGGAATTAGCTCACATGCACGAACCGCATAAAAAGAGTTTTTCTTTTTGAGCTGGGGTTAACCATGAGCTCACTCTGGCTGCACCATGACTAGTGTAGCTAACAAGTACAAGTTTAGACAACGCAAGTTAGTCGTGCAATATTCGAACAAATAAAAAAGAAAGTTAGTCATGCAATATGTTGGCTCTCCTAAACGGTTGAAATCATGCGATCAATTTCAGATAAGATCGATTAGATTAATGATGAAGTTTAGTGCATCGCTGTTGTTTATTTAAAAAAAAAATTATGGTAATTAGATACGTGTCGAAGAAAGACGAGATCGAAGAGAGAATCTACAAGTAGACCCTCCTCAATTCAACAACCAATTTCTTATTACCCGCACGAGCTTTGGATTACAACAAGGTAATAATGGGGTTAGAGATTCCTTTATAATCCATAATTTCACCACCCAAAAAATAAAATATATTCGCTGAAAAGAATATTGACATATCGTGCATATATAGAAAAGAATTCTACTAGGAAACAAAATCAGAAAAAACAAAAACGACCTGATCCGACATGCACGTGATTCACTAATAATATTCTAACACAAATTCAATTAACAAAGTCGACAGTCATAACTTCTTCTTAACGATCTACTCTCTCTCAACCTGCCCTGATCCAAATCAAACCACTTTTTTTGGGTCGGATTCCATGCGGATGCAGGTCAGGACACATGTCGGGTCGCAAAAAAGGCATGCATCGTTCATGTTCGGGTTGGGCATCTTTGACAACCCCCCCGAATCGAACTGCTGACATCAATATAAGATTTTATACTAGTAAACATCACACAAACGTGGATCTGAGATAGGTGCGGTCAACAGAAGAAGAAAGAAAAGAATCAGAGAGAGCCTCCTCCCTAGCTTACCTTGAAATTGTAGGGTTCACAGATAATATTCCAGCGCAGATCAAATCAACAAAGTCGACGGTCATAAATTCTTTATTATGATCCAGTTCATGAAAAACACGAATGGATCCAACTCTGTCAACCTCCCCTCATTGAAATGGACGATGGAGGAGGGCATTTAAGTTGAGGTAGCAGCCATAAAAGATTTCTAGGGTTTAGTCACTTCGCCTCCCTCTCTTTTATCGAAACGCCATTAACGGATCCAATTCATGTGCCAACCCAGCACCACCAAGAACTTCTGAGGAGCTGTAATGGCAGCCATTAAGGACATTCAAGATTTTGAGCAGTGGAGGAGAAGACCATCGGAATTATTAATTTTTATTTTTTTAGGTATTTGCAAACTTATTAATGGCAGAATAAATTAGGGTATCCATTCTTGTGAAAAGAAACCTGAGGAGGAGTGCGATCGAATTGAAGGAAGACCAGCATGGGGGGCGTGAGTAAATCTAGATGCACTTTCCTATGAGATCCTTCAATGCCCTGTTTCATCCATTAAGATCACAGTCCGCTCTATAAATAAGAAAGATTGGCTTTTAATTAAAAAAATTTCGACAGTATGTGGTAAATGGTAAGTACGAGTGAATGAGCTATGTGGGCATCTACCGCTTCTTGCTCATCTGTAACACCATGAGCAGATCAAGAAAAATGGAAAGTGGAAAAGAGATCACGAGCAATGAACTACACCAACTACTCCGGTGTCCTCCGTAGGCCGCAGCAGCAGGATTTGGCCGGATTCGATGCTCGAGGAACTTGATCAAACGATTTGTCTGAGTAGGGCGACTTGATTAGAAAGCTTTACAGGGACTTCTTGATTAGAAAAGTAGTGAAGGTACGAAGATAAAAAGTACAAATCTTTCCTCAAATAAAATAAAAAGGGCAACAACTACTAAAAACCCAAAACCATACCAACACATTTACTTTAAACTTTTTTTTTGTGACAAAGAAAAATCCCAAACTTGTACATGTATGAGACATTTGCCCTTCATCAAAGTCCTATCAATGAGAACATTTAAAAATTTGTTTACATAGACGCCAGAAAGCAAACGGTGTTGACATGGTGCTCACATGACTTAAGTGAGATAAAATCAATGTTATTTTAGCTGAAAAATCATATAACGAAACATTGACGGAGGAAGGTAAATGTGTAGCATAGGTATAAATTTTGGATTTTTTAATCATAAAAAAAAAGTTTAGGGTAAAAGTGTCACGGTGGGCATATTTTATGGTTTTTGATGCCGCAAAAACAAAATTTAGGGTAAAGGTGTTATAATGGACATACTTTGAAGTTTTTTGTGTGCCTATTTCCCAAAATAAAAAGAATGCTAACAAAAATAAAATCTCAAAACTAAAAAGTCACTTCAAACATACCCAACAATTCCATGACCGGAGGGCTGGCCATCACCGCTAGGATTTTCAATGAAACGAGGCTGAAATGGGCCGAGCGTCTAAGTTTAGGCTTTGAAGCCCAACTATCTAGAAGCCCAAGAACGAGGCCCAATCGTACCTGCTCGTCTCCTTCAACATCAGTACTCATAAATACGCGGTTGACATCGATCAGACCCAGAACTGAATGTCATTTGACCGGCCTCATTCAATTCAGGAGTACATAAGGATGAAAAGTTAGAGATGTCATTATTGAGGTTCTTTCAATTCTGGAAAGCAACGCTTTAGCTGCTGTGACTGATGGTGATTCTAAGGCAAATCTAAGAGGAAAGTGAAGGTGCGAACTATGCCATTGACAGATGACACTACACAGATGTTGCTAAGAGGCACTAGAGGAATTTAGAACTGCACATACCCTGTTCATCTTTGACAGAGCTCGTGGCTATTGAGAAAGATGTTGGCACTTGGGGATCTCGAGAAAATGGAGATGAGTCATGCAGTATGGGATAGGGTAAAGTCGATAGATTGTTGCTCGATGCGATGAAATGGAAAAAAAATAAGAGAACTCGTCATGATTCCGAGCTGCTAGTTCCTCACATGCAAAAGTATTGGCCTCGTTTATCTATGGACTAGTAAGCATGGTCGATCGTCGCGGCCAGTGGATTCGCACCTCGGTTCGATCTAGGACTTTCGAGACGGATCACGAGGAAGCTATTCTTTGATGTTTTTCTCTAGGATGTTATGTTTACCCCATGATTTCATGAGGTCCAAGTTAGCAAATTTCCATGAAGAGAGAGAGAAAAAAATCCTAGATATGACCTCCATGATCTAGTAGGTCATTTGATGAGGCGATCAAATCCTAGATATTGGGCCTAACTTAAACCAATAAGCCCAAAATAGCAGAAGAGGGGCTTGGGTCCTCTTCTCTTTGCTTAAGGCTCCATTTGCGAACTCCTTTCCCAATGGATCCTTAAGAAAAGGCAAAGACCGTTGGCGATTTTTTTGGAGAGTTTTGAGAATATGCAATTGCATTTTTAAGGGTCTTTGGCCCAATACAGATCAGGTAGTACTTTGAGAATTTCCAGAATGCAAATGAATTTTTCTCTTTTCAATTTTGCCCTTTGCTAAACTTTCATAATTCTGGAAATGATTCTACCTCACACACACGATGTCACTAACGAGGGTTAAGCCGCCGGCGAGCCGAATCTAGCGTTGATAACCTCTCCTAAGATTGTTGAACCTCACGCAATGGTCGTTTGGGTTGCATGAGTTGGAAGGTTTTTGTCACATGGATGGCACGTCAGCACCATGTGTTACGTGAGTACAAATTTAAGATTTTGGCTTCACAAAAAAGAGTTTAGAATAAATGCGTTACACGAATATAAATTTGAGTTAAAAATTAAAGTAAATACGTTACATGCGTATAAATTTAGGATATTTGGTGTAAGAAAAAGAAGTTAGCAAAAAATTTAGGATTTTTGGTTGCTTTGGACGGGAGCCCTTCTGCAGAAGCAAAAGTCACCCAACGAGCAACAAAGGAACCCCGGTGATTGCAGATCCCGATCATCCACGTGGCTTCCCATGGCGATGCCGTGGCATCGTGTCCGCCCCCGTGTGTTTTGCTGCTTCTCCATCGTAACTGCACGGACACAAACTGTCGGGAAAGACGAAGAAGAAGAAGAAGAAGAAGAAGCAGGAGAAAGAAGGAAGCAGCAGCAGCAGCAGCAGCTTTGGTGATTTCGCGAGAACGACGCCAATGGGCAACTCCCAATCCCAATCGCCCCCCGCCCATCCTCGCTTTGCCTCTGCCTCCAGGTTCTCATCGTCCCTCCATCGATTCCTTCGCCTCCTCCCCGCCTTCGAGGCTTCAATCGCGTGCAATCCGCGGCTCAAAGTTGTCGACTCTTTTGCTTCTTTCCCTCGCGCAGAGCTTTCACCCAGAAGGAATTGGAAGATCTCAGATCGGTGTTCGTTTCTCTGGCCGCCCAATCCCAGGTCAATGGCCATCACGTCTCTCTCCCTGTTTTCCAGGTGCGTGTGCGTGTCTCTCTCTCTCTCTCTCTCTTTCTGCTCCGTAAAAACTCAGTTTCGCGCGCTAACGATTGGTGGGCTTCTCTCTCTCGCGCAGGCATATTTTCAGCTCCATGTCCCTCTGAGCGAGAGGTTGTTCGATTTGATTACCCAGAAAAGGAAAGATGGGCAGCTTAACTTCGAAGACCTCGTCATTGCCAAGGTGGGAACTTTTTGCGATCTAATTTCGTGCGTGATCAGGTGTTGTGTAGTAGCGTGCATGATTAGCGGATGACTTGATCGTGCTTCTCTTTTGCACGCCGCAGGCTACTTATGAAAAAGGGACGAGAGATGAGATTGAGGAGTTCATCTATCAGTTACTAGATGTGGATGATGATGGAAACGTGACGAGGTGAGAATCTATATGTCTGTCTGTCTGAAAATAAACGTTTATGCTTGGCGTAGACGGATAGATTCGTCAGTGAAGTATCTTTTGGATTTCAATTTCATTATTGGAAGAATTTCATGGCTTGAACTGTTTGCATAGGGAAGTTGTTTCGCTGCTCCTTGATGAATATGTTAGCTTGAACGACCGTCTTCTGGACTATGTCCATTAAATGGTATGAAGTGTCAACTTAAAAAAGTGACCTTTCCAGTAGGCCGCTCATTATTCTTTAAAAGGCACGGTGGTCGATGCCACATTTTGTCTTGCTTGCTCTAGCATATGGTGTGCCATTTTCATTCATCGGGGTAGAGCGAGTAACGTTATGCTGTTCAGCTTATACTAAATTTCCAATCTCTGCTTTTCTCGTCTGGCTTGTTGCTTATTTTTCTGTGCTGATGGCATGGCTTTATGAATGCCACGACAGGTCTGATCTGGAATCTGTTATGATCACAGTGTTTGACAGTGTTTTTAGTCCCAAGAGGGTTCAAACCGGAGGGAGTCCAAAACAACAGGATCTTCGCATTTTTCTTGATTCTGCAAATTTCTCAGAGAATGTGCAAGGATATGGTGACCAAAGTATGTCGTTAGAGGATTTGAGAAGATGGTTTGCGGTTGTGCCGTCGGTTAGGAAGTTCCTTGGAAGCTTGTTGGTGCCTCCCAATTCAGGTTCTCTTTCCCCAGGTTTAAACTGTGTCAAAACAAGTTGGTTAAATTGTGATGTTTTCTCTCTAATGCAGTTGGCTGTTTACGCATGTATATGTACAGTTTTTTTTTTTTGGGAAGCATTGTACTGTTTTTATTTGAAAGAGTAGACTCTTGGTATGTGTTTTTGACCAAAGTAGACTCTTTATGAAGATTAAACCGATCTAAGAGGATGTCTTGCATTACGTTGGCTGATCAAAGCTGTTAAGGAAGACTCCTCTATTGCACTTTGCAACAAAATACTCCCGAATCTAAATCAAAATGCTTATCCAATCATTTCTCCTTTCAAATGAAAATCCTGCTCAACCTTCTTCTTTCTATTTAATAATTTCTTTGGAAACTCCCTTATGGCGGCATATCTTAGTAGATGGAGATGAATGTGCGAGCTTTTTATGAGGATTAAACTTTCCACATTATACGAAGGGCAAAGTCTAATGGGCAGTGATTTGATATGATTTTCTCTACCAGGCTTGTAGCTTTAGTGACAGATGAGAAATAGGGTTGCTTGACATCAATAATAGAAAGGACATCTTTCATAATTATTTGTTTGAGCGTATAATTTTCAGAGAGAGAGAGAGAGAGAGAGCGAGATGTTAGGTTGATCCACTGTTTAAATTTCCTATCTGATACGTCTTATTTCAATGGTACAGTGTCTTTGAAGTTTGACTCTAATCTTTTATGCTTAGGAAGACCGGGTACTCAAGTTCCTCGTCTATCATGTTGGAATAACATTGATTCTGCCGAGATCATTTTAAAGGAAGAGTATGCTTGGCATATAGGTGGTGTTCTCTCGGAGGAAGAGCTCGAGCAATGGAAACTCTTGTACCACAGTTCTCTCAATGGCCTCAGTTTCAACACATTTTTGGGGAGCATCAAGTAATTCTTTATCCCAATTGTTATTTCGTGGCTATTGTTTTATCACACTCCTCTATTTTCTTCTGATTCTGTTCTGTGTCATGCAGTTGCTTCTCTTTCTTTATTATAATGTATATTGGGCTATTATGTTTGACTTTCTAATTTTTTAGCTATCGCAGATTTGAGTAGGCGTAAAGTATACTGTGGGGAGACCAGCCTAGATTTCAGCACGGATGTCATTGGCATGTAAAAAAACACACGCATGTTCATGAATGGTTGTTGCTCATGACATGAAGTGTTATCCACTGTTTGAAGTCACTAGCATTGCGTGACATTTACTATGCAGTTGATTCCAAGTTTTCAACTTCAGATTTTACATGCACCAACAAATGATAAATAGAGATGATACCTCTGTCGAGGGGCATCAGCCGGTGGTATGCTGATGTTGAGTATACAAGTTGCTTGCTTTTCCTTTATAGACTTAGCATTGCTTTAAAGATCTCTCTGTTGAGACTATGAGACTCAAGCTCTGACCTTAAGAGAGGTGTTGCCGAGGTCCTCTGTTTGACATTCATGCCTAATTTGTCCCTTTGTTTCCTTCCCATAAAATGTGTGGTCAACTAAACTGTAATTTAGGACCTAATAGATGACTACTGCTTTAATTTCCTTTTCTGTCTGATCTTTCGAGATACTAAATATCTAGTAGCTTTTTTAGTTGTGGAGGATTTCGTGGCTTCTGATACTAATGATCAGATAAATTTCCTTATAATTTTCGGTTTGGTTTTCTGAGCAAGTACAAGCAGCGAAAGTGGCCGTGAAAAGACTGCACCCAGCTTTTCTGACGCATATCGATCTTCGAGTATTTTTTAATCGTCTCCTATTGTTAAAAAATAAATATTCTTCTGACATGGCAAATTTCTTTCCAGTCTCGATTTTTCTCACAGAGATTGGAAATTTTGAATGGGAGACTAATGACTAATGTTTGTGCTTGGAATTGCAGCAACAGCGAAGGGCCAACAATCTTAATTATTAAGGACAGAGAAGGCCATATATATGGAGGCCACGCTTCTCAGCCTTGGGAGAGGCACAGTGAATTCTATGGAGATATGAAGTCTTTCCTTTTCCAGCTTTATCCTCATGTATCCATATATAGACCTACTGGAGCAAACAGAAATGTACAATGGGTAAAGCCGCTTCTCCTTGAGCTTGTATTCTTAATATTGATAGTTCTTCTTTAGCAGAAAAATAATCTAATTGTTTGGTTGTTCTTCGTTCTTTATTGTTTAAAATTCTTAAAAAGAGTTTTTTTTTAGTGACATGCATGAAAGTATATTTCATTGTGGACCTTAGGCACCGAGCTCTCCATGAAACATGGATTAATTCTATCCTTTATTTGGAAATTGCAGCTCCCATGTAAGTAGAATTGGATTAAACAGATGTCCCCCCATCCTTTAGGAAGAGAAAAGCTCTCTGCAAAGTAGCTTTTCCTGTTTTGTGCGACATCCCATATTGAACGGCAATCTTCAGATTGCATCTACCTGGATTTAGTATCTTGGTTATATGAATTCTGCACGAAAGAGTAATAGAGCCAGAATAATTCTTGCCACATTTCTTTGCAAACCACTGTAATACAACTTTAGAAGATAAATTTCGACGGATACTTCGTCACCTCAAAAAGTTACGCAACACTGGGGATTTGTCAGCCCGAAACACCCATTATTTTCAACTTGGGGCGGTAAACTACTGACTTTATTGATGTTAGTAGTTTGCAATTTACCATACGTTTCTTTGCTTGCTAGTTGTTCCATTGACCTGAATGCGTTTAGTTTCGGTTTTCGTCTCTGCAGTGTGCAGTAAACTTCAGTTCGGAGGATATCCCAAACGGGATTGGTTTTGGAGGGCGCGTGAATCACTTTGGCCTCTTCATTTCAGCGAGCTTCGACCAGGGGCAGACGTTTGCATGCACGACGTTTGGTAGCCCCTGCCTTTCGACGGCCAACCGAATTCTCCCAGAAGTGATCGAGTGTTGGGGAGTCGTCCAAAAGAAGCAACAAGAAAAGCAGGATGCTGTAAGAGGGACTGTGTTGGAGAGATTCAAGGAGGATCGCCATATGCTTAACATGGTCGGTCTCGCAAATTCTAGCGAGTAATGAGAAGGCTTGAGGTACATGTGTATACTGTCTGCTTTTCTTGTTATTACCGTTTCTACTTCGTTTGCTATGCGGGCTAAAAACTTTACCACTGTTATGGCCACTCATTTTCATCGGCTTTGAAAAGCGCATCTCCGGCGTTGCCTGAATAGACTCTTCATTCTAGGCTGGCTATGCTTATCCAGATATTGTGGGGTTGTAAAAAAATATTTTCTCATCAAGGTCGTTGAGGGGCTGAACTAACCTATAAAAGAACATTGTTAAATTCATTCAATCTTGTAAAAACCTGTCTCATGGATCCCACTTTTATCTTTTGTGCAAAGAAAGTCTGTTGTGGTTGTTTCAAGAATACTTGCCCAGTGTCAGAACACCCTCAACAGCAAGAGCAGAAGCTTGGATAAGCATGAATTTGCTCCTTCACCAACCCATAAGCTAATTCCGATTCAATGCAGATATTGGCAGTGAAGATAAATGATATCAATCATCGATATGATGAAGTAGAGATATTCCGTGATTCAAGCCTGGCTACTTTAGTAATGGCTACACAGACCTTTGCCCGTCGAGCTATCCAACCAATCGGCAGTTTGGTGAATCATTAGGGCCTGCCTTCAATTGGCGGTGGGCGAATTGAATCCAGGGCGTGCCTTCGATTGGAGCATTTAATGTTCGATCAAATTCAGAAGGTTGGACTGTGACGTCTTGCTTTCCTGGGTTGGCTTCCACTTGTAGGACTGGACCAAAAGATTTTAAGAATCACAAACATCAGTAGTGAACTTAGGTAGCAGGATAAGTTTGTCTGATCTTGCTTTTCATGGATGTTGTGTCTTTGAACGCCATAGGCGATAGACCGGAAAATTATCAAAAAAGTTCTAAACTTATTGCACTTGTGTCAATTCATCCTTAAATCTTTTAACATTTTAACAATGTAGTCCATTCGACCAATTTTGGTTGGAAATTGATGTCGTTGACTGCCCTTTGCGGCATGGCCGAAGTTGATGTGGAAAATATTTGAAAATATATATTTTTTAAATTTTTTGAATTTTTTTTATTGTTAAGGGCTGCTGGCCCGACCGAGGCTCAACGATGCTTATCGGCGGCCACTAGACGAGGGTTGCGAAGCCCTCATCGGCAACTGGCGACGATCGCGGTCCTCGCTCACAGTTGGGCAAGGGTCGCGACCCTTGCCCAACTGTGAGTGAGGACCGCGACTCTCGTCCAATGGCCGCAAGCCCTCGCTCAGAGTTGGGCGAAGCTTCCACGTTAGCATTATTCTTGCCATGTAGGACTGTCAGCGTTCAGTTATTAATTTCTGGCCAAAATTGGCTAAATAGACTGCATTGGCAAATTGTTAAAAAGTTTCGGATTAACCTAGTCAAATTGAAAGGTTTATGATTGAATTGACACAAGTGCGATGAATAAGACTTTTTGGTAATTTTCCCTGGTTATAGACTGGTTCGCGCAAGGTTTCGGTTATCCCCGTTCTTGCCACCACCTGGTGAATTATCAGAGAACTGGCCTTCGGATGCCGACTTAATCTTGCAACATTGCTCTTTTCAACATGTGAGCGTTATCTGTGTATGTCCATGCATCTATCGAAGTATGAATAGCGACTAGGATGATGTATGCCCAAAAGTTTTCTTACAGCCTGCTAGATAAAAAATGGAAAATCACATTCTTCCTAGATCATTGAATAGCCGAAGGAGCGCCTGCCAAATAAAGCAGCTCATTTTATCGTGGCCATAAATGTCATATTTCCGTGATTTTCGATTTTGAATCCGCCGCTCAAATTAGTTGGTCGAATTACCATGCTCGTCACCTCAAATGTCAACGAGGCCACGAGAGCCGCGACTTCGAAAATACGATCATCCTACCGTACAGAGGAAGGTGTGAATTGTCCCATCCGCAAGCGATGTCGAGATCAAGACGCGTGAACACGAGTTGTTATCGGGAAAAACAACGATTCACCTTCGTCACATACTTGAAGAAGAATAGCTCGACTCAAAACGTCGCAAGCTTCTGGACGGGAAAGACTCGGGGGCAGTCACAAGGCCTGCAAAATTTCATCTACCGTCTTTAATGTCCGATCAGATCTGCGCAATGCCTGTGATATGTGTAAAACTTGGCCATGGAAAATTAAAGGCTGCATGCATCTCTGACAGGTGATAGGGATCTTTCACCTTCACCTTCCCCATATTAATCACCCTCTCCATCCCATTTTCTTCCCTTCACGCGTCGTACGAGCTAGATCAGTAAAATCTCGGACGGATCCCTCTATCTATATTGGTTATCACAACATGAATTTCGGACCATACGTTACCACGCTCGCTTTGTTTGCGTGATTTTTCCCGAATTCAAATAATAGGTTCGCTCCTATCCGGCACGAACACGACGTATGGCGCTCACTGAAAGAAGATGTGAGAGTTCACTAGAAGTCAAGTCCTAGATCTTCCTATCGATGCAACCAAGTTCCCAACCTTTTTCTGAAAAAGAACAATTAAGTGCGTTCGTTGTTGATTCGTTGGGAAGAAGATTTGCGTACCAATAACAAATCACCTTGCGTGACAACTTTAACTTGCGCTTGTTAGTAAAGGGCGAAGAGTTGCCGCATTTTCAACTAGAATTTGGAGCTTGCATCAATTGAGAAGTGTTGGAATTTGACATCTTTTTGCGGTAAATGGTCGGGACTTGGTTTCGTCAATTGAGAAGTTTGACACTCGATTGCATCGACTCTTGCCTTACTTTCTCGGAAAGGGGTGATGATCTCGGAACCTCTTTGGCCACCGTAAGAGTAACAGCATGCTGCCACCCACAGATTCTTAAGGGAATGAACCCCATAATAATTTATAATTATCTATTATTTATTCTTTTTGGCCCAAAACAAATTGTTAATCTCACAGTGAATTAAAGACAGTCGCTTAATCATTTCTCCCTCTTGCATCATACATCTAATTGATGCACACCACAAGCATAGTCATCTCTATTTTTTTCAAAAGGACAACATAAGGAGTCAGGGGAAAGCTCCTATTTCCCCAATACGCATGGGGAACTACGTGCATTCTCTTTTATTCAAATTGTTATCGCGGCTACCATACAACCTCAGAAGATCAAGACATCAAACTCTTTAGCACCATCTTGAAGGACGGGTTGGTGGTGGAATAACCGCCATCCACCATGAGGTTCAGCCCGCTCACATACTTGGCCTCATCGCCGCTCAGATACAACGCTGCCTCCGCCACGTCCTCCACCTCCGGTACCGCCCCTTTCAGCACGGCCGCCGCGCACAGCACCTCCTGAACCGTGCTCTTCTCGAGCCCTATGGTGTTGTTGAGCAACGGCGTCGCCATCCCGCACGGTGATATAGCGTTAACCCTAATCCCATACTGCCCTAGCTCGACGCACAGGTTCTTCATCAGCCCGACTACTGCGTGCTTTGACGCCGTGTACGCGTGCGGCGACTCGCCACAGCACGTCGAGGCAATGCTCGCGGTGAAGAGGATGACGCCCCTTTTCACCGGGATCATGACCCTGGCGGCGTGCTTGGCCCCGAGGAATGCGCCGTAGACGTTGATGTCGAGGACCCTCTTGAAGTCCTCGTTGTTGTAGTCCAGGACACTCGGATAAATCTTCCCAGGGATGCCGGCGTTGTTGTACATTATGTCGAGCTTGCCATACTTGGCGATTGCGAAGTCGACGGCATTTTTGACGTCCTCATCGCTCGTGACGTCGCAATGGACGTACGAAACGGTGCCCTTGGCGCCTAGCTCGTTGCAGAGGGATTGGCCGAGTTTGTCCTGGACATCAGCGACGACGACTTTAGCGCCGTTCTGGACGAACAACCGCACGGTGCTCTCGCCGATGCCGCTTGCTCCACCTGTGATAATGGCCACCTTGCCTTCTAATCTGGAAGCAAAGGAACTTTGTGGAGTCACATCACTGCATCGAGAAAAAAAATAAAAAGGAGGCACGATGATTGACCAATGGGAAGTTGAGTAATGTATGCTTTACCGTTTCGGAGTAAGAGCAGCAGATGAACCGTTCATGTTTTTTTCCTTTTCTTTGGGGAGACTTTAATGGAGCAAGGTTCTTGGGTTTCTTGCGATTTGTGGGAAAGTTTCGTGTCTCCATGTTTTCTTGCACGGGGTGATTTATAGGGTCCAAAAGTTGTATTGGTCAAGATGTTGGACCGACGACCTTTGTCGTCTAGCTTTTCATGGGGAGCTTCAGATTAAAGAATGCCACCACAGATTTTTGCCTTTTTTTCAGGATTAGTCAAAACTGGCGTAATTCATTGATTTTTGCCAGCCGGGCTGTTAGGTAAGAGCGCAGACAGAAATATGTGTTTATAAAGGTTGGTATCGGTATATGACCATGAATTGTTAATTATGGTCGTGAGTCATGTCTGCTCCCTTTTAAGTGATATAGGGTTCGTTTGTTTAAAGAAAAACTGTTTCCGAAAAATTATTTTCTAACTTTTTGGTGCTTAGATGACGGAAAACTAATCGATTTATGGAAGCGTTTCGTGGACTAAAAACAAACAAGCTTAGATTATGGGGAAATTTACTTCCCTTTCTAAGAAGAAGGAAATTACTTTCCCTGCTGTATTGTGTTACATAATTTGCTTTTCGGCATCATTTTAGACAATCGTTCTCCTCAACATTTTGAAATGTTAAGAGATGAAGCTTCTATATATTAAATGTATACTTGTTTTCGCGAGTGTATATACATATGAATATGTATCCAAACTTTTAGATATATACATGTATTGTGTGTGTTGATATGAATCTAAACTTTCAGATCTGATGTGACCTATTAGACGGTCCATATGCGTTTTGGTGACGTAATACGCTCACATACATACATACATACATATATTGTGTGTGTGCTGAAATGAATCTTAACATTTAAATCTGATGGACCTATCATATCTGATGGTCCATATACATTTTGGTGATGGGACATGCTTCGCTCACTGGATGCTCAAAAAGTATGTAGCTCCTACTTCCTGCATGACAAATTGCCCTTTATGATGGCTGGTGAGGTCAAAATTGCACATATAGACGAAAATCCATGAAGCAAGCAAGCGGCAAGACAGCACAAAGTGGCCGGAAGACCTATGAAAGATTTTCTGAGAGGGCTAGGAGATGAATTAAATCCTGGCGGAGTCGGAGTTGAACCAAACAAAGTTCTTAATTTGCAAAGATAAACTGTATAAATATCGAACCTCACTCCAAAGAACATAGAATCCACTCATCTCTTTTAAACACGATCAATACTATATGTCCTGAGCGTTTTATCGGCAGCATCTATGAGGTTTGTATTAGTGGAAATGTTAAGCTGCTGGCGAAAGATCAGTTCAAAAGGATGTGATTAGGACACACGATTTCTCGAGAATACGAAGCTCGTCGTGCACAACCCCGTTTGGACTAAGACCGAAAAGGCAGATTTAGTTTGAAATGCGAAAGTTAGCCCTGAATAGCATGTGAACACGTAAAAAAACAAGAACAAGAAACTTGTAAATAAGTAAGTAAAGAAACTTACTGCAACATGGGATGGAATATGAAGAAACGAAGGCCAAGGAGGACGCTCCAACTGCTACCAAATAAGCTACGGAGAATCGTCCAACGTAAATGCTCCGATTCAGAGGTAAAAGCAAAGCATCGCCATTCTTTGTCGAGAACAGAAAATGTGCGCAACTTGCCTCTGCTCGAAATGACCCCCTATTAAATTCCCCATTTTCACTTTGTACTGTGCCAGCATGAGAACGTGATGCTTTAGAATGTCCAGCTTTGCGTCTTTTCTCTCGGACTGTGCCGACGCGATCAAACAAGACCCATTTAACCCTAACAAATAAATCATGATTACAGCTTTAGGGTTTTTGGGTATGCGAGCTCCGAAATGAAAAGGATCATGCAACCTGTGTCATGCTAACATTACAGGAACAGCGCGCTAAATTTAGCAGATGTTTCATTTAGAATAATGGGGGATGCCGGGTAAAGAGAGAGCAAAGAGATGGAGTTCCAAGCTTAGTTTAATCAAATGATGCCCTTCGTTTGGAGGTTCGAGTTGTGATTCTTAATGGCTCTTGCGGGTTGTCTGCTTGTGATCACAAGGATTACTTTGCAACCTTGTGGTTCAGTCCCTTTGCACTTCGATCTGCGACCAGATGTTACTGTTCTTGGCAACCCTTTTTTTTTAAAAATGAGGTTAGTCAGATTTTCAGAGAAATGATATAAGATACATTGCTGCTGGCTTTCAATGAGGATAGCATCTTCAGAAAATGATTCAGATCCATAGCTGTTAGTTTTCTTAGTGTTGATGTGGATTATATGCACCCATGCAATTTTATTTGCCTTTGGATTGCTAAAAAAGAGCCTTTCATGTTAGGGACAAAGGCATCCCAGATCCCTGAGTTTTTCCAAATTGGGTCCCGAAACAATTTTTTCATGCAATTGGATCCTTAAAGTATATGTTTCGAGTTGGTCCTTCCGTTGATATAAAAACGGAAATGCTGATGTGTGTGTGTGTATATATATATATTAATACATAAGCGTTATGTCAATACTGACCGGACATAATAGTACTTACATGTTACTTTCAGGTGTTAACTAGATAAAATATTGTATAATTTAATGAAAAAAATTCTAAGGTGGAGAGAAAGAGAGAAGACATGGGAGGCAATTGGGAGTGGTGTTGATGATGCCCATGTGCTAGCGAGGGCAGCCGAGCCCTTATCGGCCATTGCCAGGGTCGTGCAAAATTTTGCCTGAGTCCCTTAACTCGGACGAAATCTAGCCTAGTAGGGTCATATGGTCCTAGGCGACACTTGGGATCACGCAACCCAATCATGAATCTGCGAGATTGCGACACCCCAGTGAGGGCCACAGTGCGAGTATGTTTCAAGAACCATATTGGATGAGCCAATTTTGTTGAACAGAATCTAACAAGTTTCTCAACTTGGCAATAGCGATCGCGCATAAGTACCTTTGGACAAAATATATATTTATATGAGCATTATAGTACATTAAATGTGGAGAAAAAGACTGGCATTTAAATCTTATGTGTCGAATAGTGAAATTATGTCGTCATAAGTCCTCAATGCAGACACAACAAACGACGGCGGGCCATATAAATTTTTCAATACTAGTGTTTATATAGGAACACCATTCTATGACTGACTTGAATTTTGTAATTGTTGAATGATGTTAATACGAGACAAAGTTCTCATAATTGAAATGATTAAAGAGCAACAACAATTTCGAATTTTGGGCTTTTGCTGTTGTGATTTGGGATTTGTCACATTTTCGAGGAAGTCGATTTTGTGGACTCTTACTTAACTATTTCGGCTTTTGCATCATGTCAGGTTGAACCGCTTTTTCAGTTACCAATCCAACCGGACGGCGGACATCATCAATCCATTTTTCACTTAAGTAAGTATTCCGGCTTATATATATACATGTGCGTGCGCGCGCTCTTACATTAGCGATGGATTTATCAAAATTGATCATAAACGCATTTGTTAACCCACTTTTGATGGCTGTGTTGTTATATGAGTTTGTTGTATTCAATAAATGGATTTAGACCAAATTATATGGGTCATAAATAAGTTTGATATGGGTGTTAAATAGATTCACAACTTACTTAGATTTAACCCACCTCTATGACTCTCTCTCGCCCTCATCACTCAATTTCGGACTCACTCACTCCGTGCTTTCATGGATTTTCCTAAATAATGTTAAATATAAAAATATTTTAGCAATATGGGTTGGGTTAGATATGGATTGAGTATGGGATACTAGATTTGTAAAGCATGGAAACGGGTCAAAATGGGAATTAGTAAGTTTGGGTCAGACCATTTTCTATCCGAACCACCCGTTTAACAAGTTTAATTAGTGAAAATAGCTGTTGTAATTTTCCTAAGTAATCGTGGTTATTACCAATATCTATTTGAGGGACTTGGATGATCACTTATAATTATGGAGAAGGTAGAAGGTATTACCTACTTTCTTTTAGCAAATGTGGCAACGTATCAGAGTAAGAACTAGCTAAATTCATTTGATATAAATCGTTTTGTAGCGATCTAAAAGTTGCTAGACTTAGTATAACTTGCATCTCTCTCCAAACAAAAGCGACCCTTAATATGAGGTTGCAACGCCACTTCGAAAGGACTATAATTCAAGAGAACTTTTGCTATAGTAAACATCACGTGCCACGTCATCACTCAATATGTGTTATATGATCATCAAATGACATCAAGTGAGTGACAAATAACATCACGGCGTGGCACTTCAGATATCACAATTTCTCACTTCCTCTTTTTTTTTTAACATGAAGTTTACCGTATCATGATCAATGTACCCATGCAAACCATTTGACACATCATTTGACACGCTGTGGATGATTATCGTCGCACATCATTTGACACGCTGTGTGACACTCTCTAGATATTTTCTTGCAGAGTTCCACTCCTTAGGAGTGGATGGCAAACCACAATGGTCATTCTTCTAAATTAGATCAACAGCTAACTTTTGCAAGGCACATTTAAGATGCATGTGGATTCCTGATGAGCACGGATGGAGATTTGAGACGAAGGCCAGTCAAATCTTGAAACTTCAGAAAGAAGAATAAGAAGAAATTTGATGGCGCCATCATAATTAAGCGAGGAAGATCCTGAGAGCAGCATCTATCAAGTGGCGGTGGACAAGTACCCGTCCCATACCTCCATTTACTCTCACCCCCCCTCCCTCAGTTGTCCCATCGAGACAAGCAGAGCTGTGAGATGATTAAAATTATTGCCTTCTGTGAACCCACCCCCTTCAATGGATGGTACATCTATGTCCTTTTTTTTTTTTGGTCAAATACATCTATGTCCTTGGACGGAGTGATTTGTATGTGTTTGTGTGCAGGCTCAAACAACGTAACAACGAATTACATATATCCGCCATGATGTGATTACGTTATATGAAGCTCACGTAGGGAGCGTGCAGCAATGCAATCCGATGCCTTTCGTCCGGAGAGATTATCAAAATGGAGCCTAAGTCCGAGCCTGTTAACACATTCATTTAGACCTACCTTCACTCAAAAATTTAAACTGAAGAGTTACGGGCCAATTATAATATATTAACTGCTCCATACCATACCAATTTTTTTATGT